GTAATTTTAACTTTGTTCTGAATAAAATAAAATATTTAAAAAATATCTGCAAATTATGACTTGATTCTATCTGAGATAGAATAAGGAGCATGAATCTGAAGAAAAAAGATATGAGAAGGAAAATCAAGTTAACAATTGCAAGTTATAAATAAATAAATAAATAAATAAAATAAGGAAATACGTGAGTAAGCAAGTAAATAAATAAATAACCTATAGATCACATCCATAATGTTATGCACCTTACAATACTTACTAAACATTACCTTATTTTTATTACAATCAAATAATAGCAACACCAATGGGAATAAAAGAAGAAGGGTAGAATTAATAAAATAGGGCCCACTCCAAAATTATATCATTATTGTTCTAATTGCTGCCACTATAAATGTAGTTGCTATGTTGTTGCTAACATGGCTGCAGTCTGAGAAAAGAAAATTGGCAGAGTAGACTACTGTCCTTCCTGGGAGGCATTGTAGCCAAGATAATATATAATCCTTGTTCAGATCCTTATTAAAATTGCTGTGAAGCTACGCATGTTGGACAATTTCTGTGTCCCCAGAGACAGATGGGCAGGCAGGCGGGTTCTGCTAGTGGGATTTTGATAAATATGGCCTGTAATAATGGCAATGATAGTACATTGTCTCAGGCCCTGGAGAATTTCTTCTTCATTCTGGGAAAGATTAGTGTGAGTAACTTACAGGCTGCCAAATATTTTTAGCTCTCAGGGTTTTGCTATCCTAGGAAGGGGGTTAGTAAATATCTGGCAAACCTAGACAGCCTCTGTTTCTGATTCACCCACATGATGATGGACAGTCATTTGTCAGAATTAATAGTATCAGACCTTTTGGGGACAAAGTAATCTTTAGCCAGTACATCATGACTAGCCTCCATATCCTTTACTCTCTTCTGCGCGTACTTGTTTCAAACCTGAACAAAGTTAGGAACATTCCTTAGATCTGAAAACAGTGGTGGTATTCAAAAATTTTTTTACTACCGGTTCTGTGGGCATGGCTTGGTGGGTGTGGCAGGGGAAGGATACTGTAAAATCTCCAGTCAGAGGTGATATTTGCCGGTTCTCCAAACTACCCAAAATTTCCGCTACCAGTTCTCCAGAACTGGTCAGAACCTGCTGAATACAACCTCTGTCGGAAAATATGTATCTTTCAACATTTTTGTATGACTTTTCCTTCTTATAATATCCTATCTGGGCTTCATGTAGAATGTGAGTAAGAGTTTTAACCTCAAGTAATCTTAAGGCTGGTTTATTAAATATTAGAAATTCTAAGGGGGGAAAAGATGTATACATTTTGTTATAAAGTCATTTGGTAGTCTATTTCTCTGTTGTAAGGAATGATTGTTTGTTAAAAGAAACATAATTGAGTATGCTTTGTTATATCTAAATGCAGGTTGGGAGGGAAAAAAAAGTTGATTACAATGGGAATGAGGTATTTACGAAGTGTGTGAAGTAAAACAAGAAGAGTTCATTTAAAGAAAGATTGAATCAATATATTTTAATGGAAGACAAAGTTGAGAGATAGATTGTAATAGTGAAATCAACATAAGCAGCTTGAATAACTTTGTCTCCTCTTCCAATTACAAATTAAAGTCTGCTTACATAGATGATTTCACAGCAATTTATGCTACCTATGAGAGAATTCTGTGCTGCTTGCTTGAAGTGATAAGCCACAAAATGTGCCTAACTGGCACTTTCTGGGAGTAAGTGGCAAATTATGGGAATTGCACAGAAGAAGCTTTCAGATGTGCAGTAAGTGTAATGGGCACTGAAGCATCATATGTACTAGTTATCCATTCTGAGTTATGCATTTTTTTAAATTAAAAAAAAGGATTTCTGCATCAGGAATTTTTGATGAGATTACTTCTGAAACTATGACTTTCACAGGGTGGCAGATATGCTATTTAGACATTGGGTTTGTGATGGCACATAGGTTTTAAAATTATTATTACTTATTTATTTATTTAGACATTAGGTTTGCAATAACACAAGACGTAACAAATTATTATGGTTGGCTGCCTAGCCAGCCAGATGTTTAGACTGGATATGGAATTTTATCCACTTACTGAGTTCTTCCCAAGGACCTCAGGCAGGCATAAATTATTGATATTATATTTTGCTGATTTATATGATTCATTTCTGCTGATTTAAATGCTAATAATTTAATTGGCTAGCATTGCATGCATTTATGTGAAGAACTAATACTTGTTTAGTACAAAAGAGCGTATATATTAATAGCTTTTCTCCAAACACATTTCCCAACATAAGCACTTCTCCTCACTAACATTTAATTAAGCACCAATAGTTACTGGAGCATCTAATTCTGATATTTCCCTTAAGGAAGGTAAGTCTCCATATATGAGAGACCAGCAATCACACATCCAGATCTATTACCTCCATTTCTAACTGTCCTTTCTTGAAAGGTGATAGGAAACTACAGCAATTTTTCAGCTGAATTAAATTACATTCTTTTGTAAACCTTTCCTTTAAGATCAGGAGCGGCAGGAATAATGATGGAACACACCTTCCATTTCATAAATAACACCTTAAAAAAACTAACCATTTATTTTCTGCAGATGGGATTCCCTGAAATAAGATGATTTGGATTGCAAAGATATGGTGGTTTAACTTTTTGAACAAAAGCAAAAATACATACATTGTGAACATTTAGCTACATGTAATATTTAGATAATGATGTCTCTGAATATTTCTAATACTACAAATATTCTCTCTGCACTAAATTCCAGTTTAATTATTGCTAATATAGAATTAATTCAGACAATTACCAAAACTGTATCTACCTTTCATGATGTACGGATTAGCCCTGGTTCTAAAAATATATTTATACAATACCACATTACAAAAAAATGGAGCCAAAGAGATCATATTTATCACTGTGATTTCAAATATGACTTATAGCACATGCAAATATAATATTTGAAATTCTGTTTTATAGTTCTCCCCAATGAAAAAATAAATAATTTGATACAAATCAGGAACTTATAAATATATTCACAGGTAGTCCTTAATATGTATGAACAGATTAATCCTGGATATTTTCAAGCATCTTTTGAAGTTACTGATTACTCTACAGGAAAGAGAGAACAATATCTGAGCAGGAAATAATATTTGCTAAAGATGTTTTTGTAATGGGTACCAAAAGTCTTTTCAATTTCAAACAACTGCTTCCAAGGAACTTCTGCATGTTTAATACTGTATCTTAAATATCATTCCAAAATTCCAGGATAGTGATTCTATATTATACAGTCTCTTAGACATATTTGAGAGTACAGCTACTATATAAGGGTATTGACTATCTTATGGGTTTGCTGTTTTATATTACAGTACATATTTACTTTACCATGATATGGACTAATGTAATCATCAAACTAGGTTTGTATAATTGTAATACACCTAATAAAGTTCAAATCCAGAAAGGTTGTTTAAAACAGGCAAAGGCACAAATATAGCCTTTGTTACATTAAATTAGTACATCTTTTCTTGAAATCACTTGACTTAAGCTAGGTCACATGTAAATTTGCTGGGGAAGTAATTAATCAATAAATCATTACTTATTATAGCCAGATTTTATATTGAATAAAATATAGGCCAAAAACATCTATGAACTTTGAAGATTGTTTTACTTCCACATCCAAGACATTGAAGCCGGCGCCCATTCTTATAGGCATTCTCCTATCTTACCTACTTTTTCAGAGAATTTAAAACATTTGTATTTATTTATTTTTTATATATTTATTTATTTTTGTCAATTGCTTACAAGATAATAGATATAAATAAAAACATAGTTATGAATACATGGATGCATATAAGAATTTTTTTTTAAAAAAAGAAACAATAGGACGGGGACGGTAGGCACGTTGGTGCGCTTATGCACACCCCCTACAGATCTCTTAGGAAAGGGGTGAGGTCAATAGTAGACAGTTTAAGGTTAAAGTTTTTGGGGTTTGGGGAAGAAATCACAGAATCAGGTAGAGTATTCCAGACATTGACCACTCTGTTGCTGAAGTCGTATTTCCTGCAATCAAGTTTGGTGTGATTAACCTTGAGTTTGTATCTATTGTTTACTCTTGTGTTGTTATGGTTGAAGCTGAAGTATTCATTGACAGGTAGGAGATTGCAATGTATGATTTTATATACTATACTTAGATCGGACCAAAGGTGGCGTAGTTCTAAGTTTTCTAGGTCTAGAATTTCAAGTCTGGTGGCATAAGGTATTCTGCAATGAGTAGAGGAGTGGAGGACTCTTCTTGTGAAATATTTCTGGACTTTCTCAACTGTGTTAATATCAGATACATAATGTGGGTTGCAGACTGATGAGCTGTATTCAAGTATTGATCTAGCAAATGTTTTGTATGCTCTAGTTATTAGTGTAATATTACCAGAGAAAAAGCTACCTAAGTTTAGGTTAACAACTCTTTACGCCTTTTTGGCTATGGAGTTACAATGGGCTCTAGCACTTAGATCATTAGAGATGAGTACTCCAAGATCCTTGACAGAGTTTGGATCATTTTTTTCCTAATAACTAGTTCATTTTTAATAAAAAATAACTTTTTTCCTAATAACTAGTTCATGTATTGCTTCATATATCTTTTTTACATCAGGCTTGTTGGTGAGAATTACTTTCTTTTCAAAGAAAGAGGTGCTATTGGAAGGTGACAATATTTGCATTTTAGAGAAATGGATGGGATGTATCATTGGAAAGATGGAACATTGAATCTGTTAATGGAATTATGATTCAAAATTCAAATCCTAAAGGAACTATAATGTCTTCAATATGCCATGCAATGACATCGTTAATTAGTTTGCTCCCAGAAGAACATTTATATATCAACCTGTACTATGCCTATTTGCCAAGCTCTGGTGCTTTTTGTTTTTAACAAAACAAAGTGCACTCAAGGATAATTTCATGCAATTTCATTCAGTGCAGCACATTGGATTAATAGAAGAAAGAGTGCATGATACCTACCTTGCCTACATATTGGTAATCAGATCCGGTGTATTCCTCCAACAAGAAAAACTGGTTCCACATCCAGCCTCGTTTCTGACGGTGCAGAACTTTCCCCTCATTTCCTATTCCATGAGTTCTGAAAGTTGGCCGTTGATGTTCTATAGTCCTAGTAAACACCATTGCTGACAAGCAGGGGTGTAGCAGGCATATCCAGAACAGCACCAGCAGAAAGACTTGCTGTATTATCATAGTTCTTGGCTTCACACGTGCCTTTGACTGCAAGTTCAATATTACACTTCTTCTTACAATAAGCTTTTTGGGCGCCCTTGGCACACTTCATAAAAAACAGCCCATCTGTAGTCAGTACATATCCAAAACCTTAAAGCAAACAGAAAAAAAAATAGATTCAGATACACTCCTTTACTGTACATTAGGTTTCATATTATATCTGGCACTATAGCTGCAAATATTATATAAAATTTGTTATTTTCCCCAAACACATTTTAAAATAAAAATAGAAAAGTTATTTGGTAACTATCACCTAATTCAACTTTTGCAAAACCTTAATGTAGTATGAAGGGGATGCAGTGGCTCAGTGGCTAAGACACTCAGCTTGTCAATCAGAAAAGTTGGCAGGTTGGCAGGTCAAATCCCTACCACCACGTAATGGAATGAGCTCCCATTAATTGTCCCAGGTTCTGCCAACCTCGCAGTTTGAAAGCATGTAAAAACGAAAGTAGAAAAATGGCGACCATTTTGGTGGGAAGGTAACAGCCTTTGGCATTTAGTCATGCCATCCACATGACCATGGAGACATCTTCATACAGCGCTGGCTCTTCAGCTTTGCAACGAAAATGAGCACTGCACCTTAGAGTCAGAAATGATGAGCACATATGTTTGAGGAGAACCTTTACCTAATGTAGTATGAAGTTACTTCCACCACCACGTATTATGTAAATTGATGCTTTTCCCTAGTCTTCTCATTGCAGCTTTTCTGACTTTTTAATACATTTATTAAACTTTAATAAATGTAATGGAGTATCTATTAGAATGTTTATCATGTAGATTAGGGAAATTGTACCACAGGTACTTAAATATTAACTATAGTAGCTTTTGCTGCTGTTGGTAGTAGTGGTGATGACTTGAAGTCAGTCATTTGTTCAGGCAGTGATTTGTGATTTGCCTCTATCTCCATCCTAAAGCTGAGACAAGTGACAGACACAAGGTCACCCAACCAGTTACATGCCGTTGGCGGGACTATAATTCCGTTTCCTGGTTTCTAACCCCATTACCTTAACTGCTACATTAAATTGGCTTTCACTATAGTCTTTATCTCAAAAGTTTTCTGCTTGATTTGACTTGAGAGTCAAGCAATGATTCATAAATTTTGTCACCAAGAAACATTTAAATACTAATGTAGTTTTAGAAGTTACAGAAATCATAGAATATTAGTTTTCCAGAGTATTGTAAAAGGCACAAAAAGACACCATATGCATCAGAAGAGAGATATGACCAGAATCAAAAATTTCAAAAATCAGTTCCTAACATTTTCCAAGAAGACAAAGTGAATCATAAAGGAACAAATGGTAAAGAAAAGATTATTTTGGTTTGCATTTGAGACTATGGAAAGAAAAATTGCCATGTCTCGTGACCTCACAACATAGACTGTTGTCTCAATCTAGAAGCAGAGGACCACATTATTTAGAATAGGGATGTCAAACTCAATTTCATTGAGAGGCACATCACATTGTGTTTGACCGGGGGGGGGGGGCAGAGTGGTAGGGCCAGGGTGGGTGTGGCCAGATCAATATAACTCATGTTGGGAGCACCTGTAGTGGCGGGGCTGGGGCGATCCTTCCTTCCTTCCTTTTCTTTTTTCTTCTCTGTTCCTTCTCCTTTCTTCTTCCTTCCCCTCTTTCCTTCTTTTTCCTTCCTTACTCGCTTCCCATCTTTCCTTCTTTTTGTCATTCCTCTTTGCCTTTTTCCTTTCCTGTCCCCCGGCCCCATTTTTGTCCATGATGGCTTCATGCAGCCCTCTGCCAGCAATAATGGGGCCTGGAGGGCCACACCCCAGAGTCCATTTTTACTGGAAGAGGGCTGCAGGAGGGCGTCGTGGCTGAAAACTGGGCACAGGGAGGCACATGTGGCATTCCTGGACTCTGTTTTTGGTGGCAGAGGCACCATAGACCAGTCCTTCACTGTCTTCAGGGCAGTCCCATGGGCCAGAACTAAGTACTACACAGGCCAGATCCAGCCCCTGGGCCTTGAATTTCACACCCCTGATTTAGAAGCTGAAAAAGAGTCAGCTACAGATGCTTTAGAGTAGGAATTATGTGTGCAGTTATGCTTTACAATGTTAATTGTTAACAATGTTAATTGTTATTTAATTTAGTAATTTATTCTCTGATTTACATCATTTCTCAAAAATATCAGCAAAACATTTTCTTGCTCTGTTATGTGAAACAAAAGTTTTGGAGAGGGAAGTTGGGTATCATATTATGTAATTTGATATAATAGCATCTTCCGAACCCTGATGGCAAAATGTACAAATGATCTTGTCAGCAAAGAATAATGAGCACCTGATTGCAATGTCCTTTCTTATTTACTGTACTTTTTCAAATTATTAAAAATAAAACTAAGCAATACCAACTACATGTAAAAAAAATGATAGGTTAAAGGAGTTGAAAAATATCCATTTGGTATAGGCTGTAACGTATAATAATTAATCACTAAAAACCTAATAGTAAATAATAAATCATTTATTACTTTATAAATGATGTGATTTTTATGGGCATTGACTGACTATATTATATTATAATACAGTGCTAGAGGTCACACCTTCAGATCAATGGCTTTACAGATGTTGGCAACTGGAAGTCCTAGCATCTTTCTGCATGCTGTGTAGGAATGATATGAGTATATTTCAGCAATAACTGGAGTGTGCATACACATGCTATGTGTGTGTGTGTGTGTGTGCAGATATAGATATTAGTTATAGACAGATGATAGATAGATAGATAGATAGATAGATAGATAGATAGATAGATAGACAGACAGACAGACAGATCGATATAGATATAACTATTTGAATATTACAAACTCCATTTCAGGATTTCCCACAATCCCGAAATATGAATGTAAACTACCAAAGAAGACAACTCCTTCCTAACAAGAAAGATATGAGAGAAAGAGCTGAATCTGGCATCTTATATAAAAGTATTATCAAACAGAAGAGACCAACCAAACTCACAGACTTCCCAAAAATGCCCTCTTTGACATTTTATTAGTTGTTTACTTGATCTAATATTCATATAACCAAAGTTTTTACTCTTGGGGAGCATTCTATTAATTAATTGACAGATGGATTGACTTATAGCCAGCTAGCTAACTTCGAATACATAGCACAAGACTATATTAATAAACTATCAGTATTAGATATTCCAAAATCAACCATTAAAATATGAGCTAACATAAAAGAGAAATGGAATAAGAAAACAAATTAAAAATGACAATAATTGCAATAAACAAAGGTATAACAAAGATGACCTCCAATTAGACTAGAGATACCAATACATATTTTCTCTAAATTTAAACAGATACCAATATCTTGAAATTCTATTAATCAATATTAATACCAATAATCATAAAATAGTCTTCTCTTAATTTCAATCTAATATATAATAAATTGTCAAATGAATGGCACGGTGATCTAGAGGCTTGACTCCCACTCGGAAGGTTGAGAGTGCAATCCCAGGCAGTGACAGATGTTTGTCTACCAGGGCGCAAAGAAAAAATATCAGCTGAGAATTCTGTGTAGGCATCAGGAAGGGCATCCAGTCAGTAAATGGTCAGCACCATTCACTTATTCCTGACCCCACCCAAAGCAAGAGATTATAAGGTTATAAAAAGAATATATGTATAAATAAATAGTCAATTGTGAATAGCCTTATATTTAAAAGGCTAAATATTTATCTAATCCAATCTAATCCTCAAACCCCAAAGTCAATGTTCTTAAGAATAGAATAGAATAGAATAGAATAGAATAGAATATGAATACTTTATTGGCCAAGTGTGATTAGACACACAAGGAATTTGTCTTGGTGTAAATACTCTCAGTATAAAGAAAAGGTACATTTGTTAAGAATCAAGAATCATAACGTACAACACTTAATGATAGTCATAGGGTACAATCAACAATCAAGTCATACTAGGAAACAGTCAATATAAATCGTAAGGATACAAGCAACAAAGTTACGGTCCTACAATCACAAGTGGAAGGGATGGGTGATAAGGAGTGATGAGAAGATTAACAAAATAGTAGTGTACACTTTGTAAATAGTTGAACAGTGTTGAGGGAATTATTTGTTTAGCAGAGTGATGGCTTTCGGGAAAAAACTGTTCTTGTGTCTAGTTGTTCTGATGTGCAGTGCTCTATAGAGTCGTTTTGAGAGAAGGAGTTGTCCGGAATGTGAGAGGTCTGAAAATATTTTCACAGCCCTCTTTTTGACTCGTACAGTATACAGGTCCTCAATTGAAGGCAGGTGGGTAATAATAGTTTTTTCTGCAGTCCTAATTATCCTCTGAAGTCTGCGTCTGTCCTGTTGGGTTGCAGAACCAAACCAGAAAGTTATAGAGGGTGCAGATGACAGACTCAATAATTCCTCTGTAGAACTGTATCAGCAGCTCCTTGGGCAGTTTGAGCTTTCTGAGTTGGTGCAGAAAGAACATTTGTTGTTGTGCTTTTTTGTTGATGTTTTTGAAGTTAGGTGTCCATTTTAGGTCATGTGATATAGTAGAACCTAGAAATGTGAAGGTCTCTACTGTTGATACTGTGTTGTCTAGTATTGTAAGAGGTACAATAGTGGTAGTATGGGAGGGTTTCTTCTAAAGTCTACCGCCATTTCTATGGTTTTGAGTATGTTCAGTTCCAGATTGTTCTGGTTACACCACGAGGCAAGTTGTATAACCTCCTGTCTGTATGCAGATTAATTGTTGGCTCGAATGAGACCAATCACTGTTGTGTCATCAGCAAACTTCAGTATTTTAACAAATGGGTCATTTGCGATGCAGTCATTGGTATATAGGGAGAAGAGAAGTAGAGATAGCACACAGCCTTGGGGGACCCCGTGCTGATTGTACAGGTATCGGATGTGATTTCACCTAGCTTCACCTGTTGCTTCCTGTCTGTTAGGAAGCTTATGATCCACTTACAAATATGTTCAGGTACTGCTAGTTGGTTTAATTTACTT